TACCATCTGGTTCATGATTTTTCATCTTGAGCCTTACGCGCGCCTCCGTGCAGCCGCAGCCTCGGCGGGTCTCCTCCGGCCCCGCGAGGGCTCACGCCACGCTCCGCTCGAGGCGCCCGGGCGCGGCCATTTTGGGCGCCACGTGACCGACCCGAGGCGGGCGCCGGGTCGGAGCCCTCTTTTAAAACTTTTTAAAGCATTTATGCATTAACATATAGTTAATTCTGGAAACTATTCCATGTACCCTTAAGAATGTGTATCTTACTGTTGTTGAGTGGGATGCTCTGTATATGCCTATTAGGTGTAACTTACTTAATATTTAAGTCTTCGATTTCCTTTTTGACCTGTCTGATTGTTTTTTTATTAAAACTATGGTACTGTAGTCTCCAGTTATTGTAGAACTGCCTATTCCTTCAGTATTGTCAATTTTTCTTCATGTATTTTTCTTCTGTTGTTAGGTGTGTGTATGTTTATAATTGGGCTTCCCTGGTGACTCAGTGGTAAAAGAATCCACCTGCTAATGCAGGAGATGTGGGTTCGATCCCTGTGTTGGGAAGATCCCCTGGAGAAGGAAGTGGCAACCCACTCAGTATTCTTGCCTTGGAAATCCCATGGACACAGGAGCCTGGTGGGTTATAGTCTGTGGGGTTGCCAAAGGGTTGGGCACAACTTAGCTACTTAACAACAACAAAAATGTTTATAGTAGTTATATCTTCTTGCTGGATTAAACTTTTTTCCCCAACACATAATGTTCTCTTTTGCCTCTTATAACCTTTTTGACTTAACATCTATTTTATGTGACAATAATATAGTCACTGCCATTCTCTTTTGGTTACTATTTGCTTTCAATGTAATTTTCCATCTTTTTACTTTTAATCTCTTGGTATCTTTTTATCTAAAGTGAATATCTCATAGACAACATGTGCCTGCTGCTAAGTCACTTCAGTTGTGTCTGACTTTTTGTGCCCGAATGAACCATAGCCTACCAGGCTTCTCTGTCCATGGAATACTCCAGATAAGAATACTGGAGTGGGTTGCCATGCCCCCCTCCTGCGGATCTTCCCAACCCAGTGATCAAACCCTTGTCTCTTCTGTCTCCTGCATTGGCAGGCAGGTTCTTCACCACTGTGCCACCCAGGTAGACAACATACATAGTATTTTTAATCCAATCTTCCAGTCACTCTCCTTTTAATAAAAGAGTTTAATCAACTTATATTTAAATTCATTGTTGATGAGGAAGGATTTCTGTCATTTAGCTGTTTATTTTCTGTATGTCTTATATATATATATATTTGTTCCTCAGTTCCTCCTTACCACTTTTTATATTTAGTTGAATTTTTAGTGTACCATTTTGATTCTGTTATGTTTATTTTAAAGTTATTTTCTAGTGGTAACTTTGGGGATTACAACTGACATCATGAACTTAAAGCAACCTGGTTTGAATTATACCAAATTAATTTCATTAGCATACAAACCAGTTTCATTAGTGTACTAATACTGTGCTAACTATATACATCTCTGTACCTCCTCATTTATATTGTTATTGTCAGAGATTACATGTTTGTATGGTGTATGCCCAATAACATAAATTTGTAAATATTATTTTATGCATTTACCTTTTAAATCACATAAGAAAAGTGTGGAGTTATAAACAGAAAAGTACAATAAAACTGGTTTTGACATTTACCTGTGTAATTAATTTTACCAGTGTTATCTCTTCTCATGGTGTTGAGCTACTTTTCACTTCATTCTGAAGAATTCTTGACACTTCTTGTAGGGCAGATCTGTTAGGAATGAGCACCCTTAACTTGCTTATCTAGAAATATCTTCATTTTCCCTTCATTGTTGAAGGATAGATTTTTGCTGCATATAGAATTCTCAGTTGATAGGTTTTTTTTTCCCCCCAGAACTTTAAATTATGTCAGCCTGACATTTTATGGCCCACAAGATGTCATTAGAGAAATCAGATGTTAATCTTATTGAAGATAGATTGTTTGTGATAGTTGCTTCTCTCTTGATGCTTGCAAAATTCTCTCTTTGTCTTTTGACAGTTTGACTATAATGTCTCTCCATGTATATCTACTTGAATTTATTCTGCTTGGAGTTTGTTGAGCTTCTTGGATGTGTAGGTTTGTGTCTTTCATCATATTTGAAAAATTGTTAGCCATTCTTCAAATATTGTTTCTGCCGCCCCCCTTTTTCTTTCCTCTTCTGCTTCTGGAACTCTTATAGTACACATGCTAGTATACTCCACAGTGTTGCACAAATTTCCCAGGCTCTGCTCATTTTTATTCATTTTTTTTTCTTTGTGCTCTTGAGACTGAATAAGTTCAATTGTCTTATCATCATGTTACATGCTGATATTTTCTTCTGCTTGCTGTAATCTGATGTTGAACTATTTTAATGAATTTTTAATTTTATTCTACTTTTCAGTTCCAGAATTTGTTTGGTTCCTATTTTAATTTATTTATTTAATTTGTTTTGTTAATATTTAATTGTCTCTTTAATGATATTCTCACTTTGCTCCCTGGTTGATTTCCTTTAATTCTTTGTTCATAGTTTTGGTTAGCTCATTGGGTATATTTATGACAGTTAATGTAACATGCTGGACTAGTAATCTCATTGTCTCAGCTTCCTTAGGAATGGTTTTTGCCAAATTCTTTCTCCTGTGAATGGTCTATACTTTGCTGTGTCTTTGTATGTATTATAATTCTTTTCTTGTTGAGACTTGGACATTCTGAGTATTATTATGTTGAAATTGTGTAAATCTGTTTTCTCAATTCTCAGTGACTGCAGATTTTTGTTCATTGAAGGCTAGAGCCATCTGTTTGTGTTATTTCCAAACTGTTTTTGCAAAGTGTGTAATCCTTTTTGTGTGTGGTTACAAGTTTCTGTTCTGTTATTTCCTGCAGTTAGCTGGTGGCCTGACAAAGATTTCCTTAAATATCTGGGTCAAAAAAAGTACCCTTTTTAAATGTTCTGATAGATACCACCAATGGAAGCTGCTGCTGCTGCCTGTTCTAGAAACTATTCCTCCTGGAGCCAGCTGGTTGCTATCTCCACTGCTGCAGGAGGGAGGGGCTGAGGAACAGTTGATGGTAGTTGGTTCACCCATGCTCTTCCCTTAGGGAAGATCAGCAGCCTCTCCTTTCATGCACTCCCTTGGTGGTTATAAATTTCTGATAAGGTTCTATAGTTCTAAAATGATTGATTCCAATTGCTCTTTCTGGCTCAATTTTTACTTTGGTGGAGGGACTGATTTCTAGATCCTTCTATTTGTTCATTTTGCATCAGTGATGTCTTTTGAAGTGCAAATGTTTCAATTTAAGCTTGGTTCATCAGTTTTTCTTTTATAGATCATGCTTTTGATGTCTCATACAAGAATTCTTTGTATAAACCTTGGTGTCAAAGGTCCTTCCCCTGTGTTTAACATGGTGGGTTGTGAAACCTTGGTGGGAATGTGTGTAGGCAGGCCACATGGAGGCTTGTGGGGGAAGCATAGCTTGATGAGAACTTTCTGGGGAGTACGAGTGAGCTGTGTGGGGCTTACAGAGAGAATTAGTGCTTCAGTGCTGGCAGGAAGCCTTTGGGGTGCCAGTTTAAATGTTAAGAGGACTACAGGAAAGCCATCTGCCAGTTGAGTTGCTGAGGCTGTAAGTTTGCTGAGGGACTTGGGCACATGACTGAGCAGAATTCTATTGGATATCCTCACACCAGACCACTGACCCACTCTGATTCAGCTGGAATCCACAGGAGAGCAGAGCCCCTTTCTCCTGCAGTGTCCCTTCAGTTCTCTCTTCTGAGAAAGTGTAACAGCTTCATGTTTATTTTAAAAGGAGAAATGCTCAAAGGAATTCCATGTTGTCACAGAGTGTATACTGCAGGGTTCATAATGGAGCTACGAGGCAATAAATTGATGAGCAACACACAAGGTATAAAATAGTATTTAAATTAATAGGCCATCCTTTGAGGCATGAAACTATTGTAAATATACCAGTCCTTCATGTAATCATTATTGAAAATTTAGATATTTTATGAAATAGAAAACTGGGTAACTATATATGGTCTCAGATGAAACTTCTAGAGTATTCTAAGTAAGAATTAGTCTAAATTGTCATCAAAAGTCATCAATTCACTACCACTGCACACCCAGGAAAATGAGACTATTTCTTTATTATTGATTAACCCATATTTTGTAGGAGTCTGTTGATATCTTTCTAAACTTGAAGAATAGCCTTAACATTATGCATTAAAAATTTATCCCATTCTTATCACAATAATGTACTTTTAAGAACAGATGTATGTATGTATTTTGAGTATAGATTAACCAAGTTATTTGAGATTTCAAATACTTTGTGACTGTATGTAAAAATTGTAAATTTTCTTAGTGAATATTTATATCACAGCTTATGTGAAGTGTTTATATTCAGTTGGATTCATTGTACCTTTCTGATTAGTCTGTGGTACCCTGGCATGCCATATTGATGTATACATACTTTGAATATCATTCCTGCTTACATGTACAATATATACTTAGTTTGGTTGGTAAGGGCATGGTGATTATAGGTAAAATCCTTGTTCCTTATGCAGATTTTTTTAAGACTGTCAATGAGAAATAACTTTCTTACTAGGTTACATGTAAGCTTTTCTTGTGCATACTTGACTAGGAAAAACAATTTGCATATACATATATTATAGGAATAGGCTCAATAGATACTCTTTTATTTCAAACACTAACAAATTGTTACAGAGAATAATTAAGTAGTATTTTCCCACAAAAATTGTATGGCTTAATCCTTACCTATTTTATACAAGTTCTCTTTAACTTTTTTGTTTTTAGATTTTTGGCTTTTACTGTCAGGTATAATACATGTATAGTCAATTCTAGTACACTTTGTAGCTAATTCAAAGCAAATATTTACATTTTATTTACATCTCTCATTTTTCAAGTAGTTCCCTGGTTACCAGAAGCACCATTCATGTAATTTTTCTTGTTTCAGAAACCTTTTCCCAAAAAGGACAAAAGAACTCAAATCAGTTGTACATAGTGCTCCTGGCTGGAAATTATTTGGTAAAGTCCCTCCCAGAGAGAATCTTCAGAAAACTTCCAAAATCATTCAGCAGGTAAGTACTAATATAGCCATATGGTTTGTCTTGCTTTTCAAATATTCTCTTCTAGATAATCAACCATATTCTACTTCATTCATTTTTTTAACATACAAAATTTTGTGACTATAGACATTTGTAGTAATGTTAAGTTTTTTTTAAAAGCATGACGTATATTTTTAATTATATTTTATGGTTGTGAAAATTCTTTATAGTAACAGAACATTGATTTTCTTTCCTAGTTATTCCTTGGATAGTGTCTTTTTTCTTTCTTTTTAAAAATTTTCTCAGTAAACCATTCTCACCACATACTGTGACTTCTAATTGAACATGGTAGCGTTTGCAATGGCACAGATTTTATGTATGATAGGTAGTTGTGAACTGATGAAGCAGTATAAAGTGAAAACTGAGTAGATTTTTGAGGTTGAAAATTTTCCCTGGTCATTTTCTGGCTTTCGACCAAGGACTTTGTGAGGTGGGTGGGTATATATACTGTTTCTAGTAATTTAGAAGCCAACTTCTTGAGTTGGCTTAATACCCATCTTCTTGAGTTCTTAAGAACTTCATGTCATATTTGACTTCTTAGCTTGTGCTTCTCAGTAATCGGAGGTCAGTGAGACTGGACAACAGTGAGACTCTTTTATCAGTTTGTGGCATTTTTAAGTTTAGAGAAGTTACTTCTCAGAAGGAGATAGAATGATAAATTTCTTATTTATCTCCTTCCAGTTGTAGTTTATCAAATTTAGCACATCCAGCATATATAAAAATAATCACCATGAAAACAGTAATGATCATTTAAATTGGAAAAATATTTTCCTTTAAGGATTTAATAGTGTTCTTTTTATTGCTGAAAAGAAAAACTGGTTTCCGAAGTAAATGAGAACATAATTTTTAGATCTTTAATAGTATTTGTGATAGTTAATTTCATTTGCAGGTAGTTAAACTATCAACTAGCTTATATGCTGCTCAGACTTAATACTAAAGTGCTATGATTCCCAAGCTGTGTGTCTAGGGCACCCCATGTGCTGCAGCTGCTAAGGCTGATGGGAACCATGGCAAACTCAGTAATACTCTTCCACCGTTTGTTGGATATGGTGCAGCCTGATAGCTTGAGGTGGTACACAGTTTTAACATAAAATGGCAATGTATTACTTTCTGTGACATTGTGTCTTTGTGAATCTGGTTTTTCTGAGTTTGCTGTGGTAAAAATCAGATACTCCGCAAAAATCAGTGTGGAACAGGAAATGAAGGTGATGGTGTCCAGTCTTATTTCAAGATTTGTGAAATTGTACGCTGCACAAAAGGCATACATGCCCAATTAGTGATTAATTGTGGTTATTTAAGAATGCAATAAGGCTTTCTTTTAATTTCTGTGCATTTTTTCAAATGGCTACTAAGTACTGGGACATAACTACTCATTAAACAGAATAATTGAGTATTTCTGTTGGTTTAGGGGATGCCAATAATAATTACTGAGACACTAAGGTTGCTGTTAATCCAATAAAGTTTGGAACTCTTTGCTATCTGGACATCTTAAATTTTAACTCTTTTTTTTTTTTTTTTTTTTTTTTTTGTTAAAATCTAAAAGTAACCTCTCTTGTCTATAGAGCTTTTCAGAAGACCAAGTTCGCCCTCTAGAGGCAAAAACAGTGGTCTTGCTATTGAAGGTTTGTATTCTTGACTTTATGGTAGTTTACCTGAAATATGCATGTGCATATAGTACTTTAATATCTTTATGTAAGCTAACATTCTGTGATATTTTATTACTGTAGGTCTCTAATTACTAGTGGATAATTATCTGTTTACTGATGTGCCATTGCCTTTAATCTTCTGTTTTCATTTTGGAGTGCCAAGGCCTCACATTTTCTTTCCTTTATATATATATATATATATATTTGTTGCTTGAAAATTTGATGAGTGGTCAGGAAAAGAACAAGTCTTATTTTCATATGGGAAGAAAGAGTGGAATTGAAATGCAGTTTCTATCTTCTACAGTCCCTTTCTGGCTGTTTACACTTGTTGATTTCTCCCAGCTGCTGCTTTTAATTTTTGAGTGTTCTGGTGTGTGTAGGGACTAGTGTGTATTTTGGTGCCTTTTTCATGCTTCTGTTTGTTTTCCGGGGGCCGTGATGGATAGCAAAGTCATTGTTCCTCTGACCGTTTTCCACCCTCAAAAATATGTGTCTGTTTCACCATGTGATGGAATATGTCTCTACTTTCTCTTTTACTACAGTTTGTGTCCTATACCCGACCCCCCATTTGTCTCATTTTGCTATTCTTTCCTGCAATTGTCATTTTAAAAGTGGGCATGGTTTTCTTTTATTAGTAATAGTAAAGCTACAATTTTCTGTTTCTACTTGAAAACAGTTTTTTTTATAGTCCTAATTTCTCAACTCTGTAAAACATTATCAGCATAAAACTACATTTGAGATCTTTGACTGTGTTCACATGTAAAATGTGTGTTGTGTTTAGAGTCAGAAATTTAAAATAATGTAAGAGTAAAATCATGAAGAGTGTTCAGACACATCTGTCATGTTTTAGGATAAGGTTTTAAGCTGTTACGGCTATAGAAAATGAAGGTAGCTAGTATTCCACTGTAAAACTGCTTGAAAAAGTGAGGCAGTGCTAGAAGTACTAAGGAAAAAATAGATTCCTTTGATCTTTCTGAGGATGCATCACTTGCTTCAAGAAGGGCAAAACTGTAAAATTTGTTAGAATATTAGAGTGGTAGTAGTATTTTATAGGATAATTATTTCATTAAGCAGATATCCAGAAAGGAGTTGCCATATTCTTAAGGATGAGTATATGTTTGGGGGCTATAATTTTTTTTCTAATGGAAAGACACTTATAAGATTATAAACTTAACTAAACAACTTTGAATTACAACCTTTTTCTCTATTAATTATTAATTGCACAAATAGCACATGATTATATTCTCTATAAAATACAAAACATTATAGGAAGGCATACCTCATTTTACTTTTCCCTTCACCAGTTTTAGGCCTTTTAAAATTCAATTTTTGTGTAGAAAATACAGTTATTTTCATGTGTTTATATTTTTACATTATATTTTTTTCCCCAAGAACAAAATGTTACTGTATATACAATTTTTTGCCTTGTTTTAAGTATTTTGTATCTATAGTTTTTCAGAGATACATGAAGTTCAAAAGTGAAAGATACTTGTAGGTTAAATATTTTTAAAAGTTATTAAAGATTTGATCGATTTTAGTACTTTCCATGTTAATAGTAAAGAAGTATAAAGATCATTTTAGGATAATAGCAAAGTCAGACTGACTCAAGTTTGGCATTTAACTTGAAAGTCAGTCCCCAAATTACACGAATATTCATAATATTATTTTATGAGGATTATCACATGTGTTCTCTTGCAGGTGTGAAATTCCTGCTTGTGGCCATCTGAACCAGTTGGTGAGCCATGTTAAAAATCGCATCTATTATTTATAAATAGTATTTCAGTTATATTGTAGTTCAATTGACCTAAGTTTTTGGTTTTTCTAAATTAATAGGCTGAAGTTGGAATACAGCTACATAGTTTTGTCTTATGACCTCCAAACTGCAAGTGAGAATTATTTCAAATGCGCCATGTTATGTGTAACTGTAACATGATTGCATATTAGATCAAATATAGTCTATGTCAAACTCAGTCTTTCAGTAGAAATTAATTTTTTGCTTGGCACTATTTTTATATTGGCATCTTTTTCATTATGAATAGGTGAAATTATAGTACTTAGAAGATGTTTCATGTTTTTTATCACTCATGTCTTTTTCTGAGTGGTGTTATAGTTGAGTGAATTACTTTCAGCTATCTTTTGACAAGCAAGGAAAAAATATTTTAGACTCAGTTTCTTAATCTGAGCATTTCAAATTGTCTAAAATAGAATAGGTCATGGACTTACCTGGCAGTCCAGTGGTTAATACCTCACTTCCATTGCAAGGAGCGCACGTTTGTCCCCTGTTTGGGGAATTAAGATCCCACATGCCTCACAGCGTGACCAAAAAATAGAAGAACTAAAGGAGAATAGGTCACTCTCCTCAATTAAGCCTTTGACTTTAGGAACAGTAAGTAGCATTGTGGAAAGGACTAGAATACACATGCTTTGTGAGCACTAATTATGTTACAGTTTGTAAGGGTAGAGCATAGTTTTCTGGTTACTAACTTTATTGGTTTATGTAGTTAGGATACTTGAAAAGTTTGTTATTTTTAGTTATGCTTAAATATAGATACCTTCAGTGTAAAATTTGAGTGAGCGCTGCAATAAATGAACTCCTTCATTGTTGTTAAATTGTGGAGGGTCTGAATATGTTCAGAATTTGTTTTTGATAAGTCCTTAAAACTATTACACACTTGCATGCTCTTTCATCTTTATTTACCTAATGTATTGTCACCTTGAAAAGGAAGTGAATAATTACCTTTCTTGCCACACGTGTGTTCCGTATTTATAGTTAATGATAAATTGCTGTGTCTTTCCTATGTGTGAATAATTTTTGATTTCATAAATGTTGATTTCTGTGGCCCTAAAGATTGAGAGAGGACTTTGTGCCAGCTCTGGGCCTGTGCTCCTGGGAGAGGGAAGTATGAACCTTAAGAAAGAAGGTTAAATTAGTTAAAGAAATGAAAAGAATAACAATAAGTTATCACAAATTGAACAGGGCAGAATTTGGGGGAGATTTTTTTTTTTAATTGTTAGAGACAGAGACTTGGAAAAGAGTTGCAATTTGAAAATACTCTTACTTGTTATATGATTCCAAACATGTAATTCTAGTATCAAAGTAGAAGTTATATTTGTTCTGTCATGTGTCAGACTTATAATTATGTTAGGCTTCAAATTACACTAAAACAAACAAAATTGTGTTAATAGCTTTACCAAAATAAAGTTTATTAAGACACTGCTGTATACCAGAGGATGATGAAATGCTTTTCCCTAGGTTTCAGTTAAACTTGAATTATGGGATGCATTTTATTTCTTCTAATTCACAGATCCTAGAATCAACCAGTAAAG